GCGACGTAAGTGTCCTACCGAATGGACTGGCTGGTATAGCAACTTTTGCCTGGTATCTTGCAACAAATTGTTCTTTAATATTTCGATAAGCTCCTCTTCTCCAATTTTAATAGAAGCCTTATCAATTAGGGATGCCACATCCTCATAGAAAGCTGAGAACGGTTCACCCTGCTTTTGCTTACGTGCTCTGATCAATTCCATGCTCATAAAGTCTGATCGATAATCTTTATATTGTTGACGGAGTGAAGCGCAAATGTTTGACCAAACAATTCCATCTACTTGTTTATGGTATCTCCAATACCATGATCGAGCTTTTCCTGTGAACAAGACATGCATGTTCTTACACATACTGATAATATCACTATTCAAAGTTTCATCAGTAAGCACTTTTATTCTATAAATAAACTCTTCAACTCCTAATCCCTCAGTTGATCCATCAAAATGAACTCCCCATTTTTGCATGATGTCGACTGTCTGCCTAATATGTATAGATGATGAAGTGAAAGATGGTGATTCTCGAATTTCTGACATCTGAACATTATCAGGTTGTGAGCGATCAGGTATATTTAAAGACGTTATAACTCTATTGACCGTTTGTTCTATCATGTTTTGAATGGTATTATAATCCACCGCTTGATTTCGGCGGGTATTTGTAGTGCGGGCTGATCTCACCGCGCGAGGTCTACCGCGAGAAGGTCTATTTGCAATGCCTTCAACATGGATGGTACTCTGGCTAGCATCCAAAGCCGAGGATTGAGCTCCACTTGCGTTTAAAGGGACAGGTTCGGCTAGATTGGCCGAACTACCATCTTCTAATTGAGCTAACGCTCTGGCTAACCTTCTGGTTTTAACTCCTTGCTGACCTGATTCGTGTGAAGGTGGCAATTGTTGCGATCTGGATGGCGAACAATTTCCTACAACCAATTTAATTTGCTTTCTGGTAATTGGGGCACTACAAGTGTAACAACAAGAATTTTCTGTTAACCATGCGTCTACACAATTTTTGTGAAAGACATGTTTGCACGCCAATAAATAACAAGGATTGGTATTATCCATAACAGTTGCACATAATGCGCAATTATTCTCTATATTATCCACAGAAGAGGGGTGTGGAGGCGTGTTAATAACTGGCATGTTGATTAATTTTTTCTTCTTTCTCTATTAAATGTAATATTTCCTGAACCTGACATATAATGGCAACGAAAAAAAATCGGATTAGCCTGTAGCGTCTAACTACTAAAAATTTCCGGATTATTGAAACTAAACTTCGAACTGTCAGATTAATAACATCTAAAGGTGTTCTATTCGGCAAGTAAACGCAATGAAACGCATTTTAACGAGTTCCGGACAACAGCTACCCTTAGGAAGAATATTTACTGGCAATTTAACATCTCCTTTTATTTTATGGTTTTAGGTTTTGTTAAAGTAAAGCCCTGCAAAAAAAATAGTAGTGATACTGAAGTATTGGTATCCGTACTTAGTCGAAATCACAATATTCATTCATTATACCCGGAAGACTATTTCCCTACAATAAGGTATACTAAAACAAACACCTAAAAGAAACGAGCATTTTTTTTGTGAGTAAGAAAAGATTTTTCCTATAGCTGATGTTGTTGCTATATTCTTTCCTTTCTTTTGGTGTAGGTCAAGCCTCATAGGTTTCTCGGTCTGTTATCCTTTTCTGAATAACAGCTTCGTAGTCCTAGTAGAGGATCGAACTCATCTTCTACCCTTTAATGCGATAGTCCGACCTACCTAGTCTAAACTATTTCAGCACTAATGATATAAGCATTGAGTGACCTAAACACAAATTTATGTTTGTACCACTAAAAGTGTTGATCCTTAAAGTGGCCTCACTGGTTGGGCGCCAAAAAGTTTGTAATGGGGGTACGTCGTTGGGATGCCAAAAGTTTGTAATTGTCCCATGTTGACTAAGAATGAGATTCCGAGATATCGAGCACAGGATTCACGGGGTACACGATAAACCAGGCAACTGATCATTCGGGCTCTCAGACTTCTATTCAGTTAGGAGAAACGGCGGGGGGAATCCTCTGGTGCCTTAGCTCTTTCGGCGGTGGGGTGGGTCTAATTGCCTTCTCTAACTGCCCAAACATACTTTAATTTTTAGGATTCCTACTGAAACTAATTACTAAAAGTTACTAATATCATCAATCGGATAATTTAGACTTGGGAAAACGGACAAAAGATAATGAGGTTTAAATCAGACGACTACAGGAAAATTTTTGCAAGGTCTACGGTGACATTTGACGCTTGCGGTCTCTACCCAACCCAACCATAATCTTCATTATAATATTTCAGAAGATACCCATAGAGATACATTCGATTTAGTTTAAGTTGCCATGTCAATTCAGGAAAAAATATACTCTTCTAGCCGTTCATATTTTTTTTTCAAATAATTACTTTAATTGTTTTTATTTAACCAAAAGGGTGGAAGTACGAAATATTATTTCCATAGCGAGTATTAATATTACAATTTATTATAATTTTTAATTTGGATATTATTCAAAAACATTGCCTTAATTTATTGAAATGAACCTAAACCTAATTAACTTTAGTATAGAAATCTTAAAAATTTATTTACTTTTCCATATTGAAAGATTACCATTTCATAAAAATTATTTTTATTCTTATTGGGTGTGGTTGCTGATAGACGAAAGTGGTTGATATAGGTAGGTTTTAAATTTGATTATTTTTATTTATTTATTTATTTTTTTTTTTTTGTTTATTTTTCTGTTCAAAGTTTTAATTCATTTTATTTTTATTTTCTCTTTGTTTACTTTTATTTGCCATAAAAACTATCAATATAAATGTAAAAGCAGTCACCAAAACTCTCAATACAAGAACATATTTTTTATTTATTTAATTTTGGAATTTTGAGATTGGATCGGCTTAAATAAAATACAAGATGTGTATGCAAATTCGCACAGGTATCACTCACATGTTTACAGCTCCAGCGTTGAAAGGCCTTCCAGCGTAGAGATGGGTTACACGGTGTTGTTGTTGCAGACGGTTAAACTCTGTACATTGATAAAGATTTTATTGGCAAAGGAAAACTTTTATTTTAGAAATTTATTTTGGCAAAAGCCAGATACTTAGCCTCGACCAACAACCATCGTCACCACTTCTAATGGCTCTACAAGGGTATACAGAAGTCCACTGGCCCTTACTTAATTAATCCTCCTTATTAATTTTAATGATGAGCTCGGTTTCCTGATCCGAGGCTGCTGCGATTCGGATTGCGCACAATAACTGCCTTTAAAGTTGAATTTTCTGTTATGTGGGTGATATGGCCGTCTTGCGCTTAGACGGGCTCACTGCATGCCACTAGGGTACGGAAAACCGCGCACTACTTTATCCGGTAGGCTGCTGCGGACCAAGGACTGGTGTTAGCCGTGAGGCGTCTGCTTACGGGGCTTGTGGCCAGGAACACACTTGAAACTGTGATGGAATATACTTCCCGGGAGTTTTATCCGAAAAAGCTTCCCGCCGGAAGTGTTTCCGGAAACCAGCACGTGCAAGTGGCAACTAGGGTTTTGCCAACCACTAACTAGGCTTTGGCCAATGCACTTGGGGACACAAATTTGGTTTGGTTTTCTTTGATTTATTAAATTTCACACGATCAGCGAGGGTAAAAATTGAATTTTCGGCTTTTCGAACTTAACCTCTGACGTTGTGCAGAGTACATATACGTGAATTATATATTACTTTTGCTGGTTGAAAAAGAAGAGCAATTGCAGCCGCGTGGGCGTTTATATACCGAAAATTTCCACTGCAATAAGCTTTTTTCGCTGAGAAGAGAATAATTTCCCCGACTAAAGTTGGCTGCGCTTAACGAAGCAGCTGATAAGATAAAGCTAAGCTTAGATAACCGATCGCCTCCTTAAAGTATACACTGATAAGGGACGAGATAAATCTGTGGAATGTTTTGAGCTTTCCTTTATCCGTTATCTGGTTGAAAAATGTTGACTGAAATGTTTTTATTGAAACTGGTACTTGGTTATAAATGCCGACCATTACAATTTAATTAAAAAGTTAATTGCGAAAATGAAAGGGAGCCCGCACGAATGTAAGCCAATTAATAAATCATTGCAAAGTAATCAATCAAAAAGCGGTGCAGCCCTAAAGAACCGCACATAACAATTGACCAGTTAGCATTACAGGACACAATGGAGTCCTGCAAAATGCCCAAACACACCGCAATTTCCGTGAGACCGCCCATCAATTTCCCACATCCAGCCCATTTTCATCTCATTTTCCGATGCCGTCAACTGTTGCACACTGCACATGCAAGTGACACACAATGACAGCAGCTAATTAAGCTATCAAAATGTTCGTCAGTCCACTCCTGTACAGTGGAAAACCTTTTGATAAAAACGATTAAAACAACATGCTGGTTTAATAAAAGAAACAATGCAGTTGGTTTTTGAGAATTTCGATAATTGGATCTTTAAAAATCTGCTTCAGGATGTATTAAGACTCATAAAATAAAACAGTTCTGTTCGCCTACTCAAATTATACACCCCCAAAACTTATTTATAGAAACTTAATTTGATAAAAGTATAAAAAAAGTATAAAAATAGAATCTATATTAAACATGTTCAGCCAGGTTGCAAATGCTTAATTGTATAAACAGTCCCAATAGCAATTTTGGTATATATTTTACAACCCTTAAAAGTCTGAAACCTATAACCAAAAAAAAATCATTTAATGGAGCTTAGATAGTGCTTTACATTTGGTAAAAAATCTGGCTTAAGTTCGAGGCGCCCTAAGAACTTCGCTCATAAAATTTGTAAAATATAAGATACTTTTGCACTCAATAAACGTCAACAAATTTAGTTTGTTTCTGTAGGTTTGGTTAACACATTTTATAAACGAGAGAAGTATTAATAATTATAAGGACATCAAGAGCAGACCCATTAGAAATCAAATAATGTCTGTGTTTTGTAATGAAATTTAAGTGGTTCTTCTTAGCCACTCACCTCTGTACAGTGGAAACTCGCCGTCGCTGTGGCTGTGGCACAACATGATGGGACTGCGACAACGCGAGGCGGCGACCATGATGCCAGTTTTGTGGATGCTGAGTTGGTTGTTGCTACTGGCCGAAGATGTTGCTGGTGTGGGTGTTGCAGTTGTTGCTGCTGCAGCTGCTGCTGCTGCTGCCGATGTTCCAAGGGAGTAAGATCGCGAGACATGACTCAAGGTGCGTCGTCTGATAGTGGCTGCATTGGCAGAGGTCCCTGTGGCATTGGGCGTTGCATTTCGATAATGATGTTGCGGCGTGGAGTACTGGTTCCTATTCGACTGCAACTGCAATTGCTGGTAGCCGCCTAGCGATAGGTGGTGTTGCAGCGGTGGGTGGTGCGAGTGGTGCAAGTGTTGCAGCTGGGCACTCGGATGTTGCTGCTGTGCTGGCTGATGTTGCTGCGGGGCTTGGAAGGGCGGATGCGAGTGCTGGTGTTGCAACAACTGCCGCTGCTGTTGCTGCTGCACCGCTGCCAGCTGGAATTGCTGCTGCAACTGCTGCAACAGATCGTGCTGCAGCTGCTCGTTGGTCCTGCCATTGGTGTCCTTCTCCGGATTCGGGTTCGGCGGATTCGGGTTCTGCTTCTCCCAGGGTCCGTTGGTATCGCTGCTGTAATCCAGCTTGAGGCTGCTCTTCGTTAGTTTATGATAATACAAATTTCAGCTAGACCATTGCGGTTAGGTCCCTGTATATTTACTCTGTATGTTTTATGTAATTTTCCAGTTTTAAAATGGTAATATCTCTGAATATAAAAGTAAAATAAATAGTCCAGTCTGATTTGTCGTATAAATTTAATCTAGACTATTTTTAGTCCTTTAAGATCTCTGCAAAAACATTCAACATTTTTAAATCTAGTTCTGGCAAATGTTTTAAGACATTCCTTGAAAATTTTAAAAGATGTAAATTTATTTATTTATTCTATCTTTTTTACAGTTTAAAAAAACCCGATATTTATGGAACAATTTTCACGCCGATTTTAAGAAAGTCTATTCACTGAAAGTCGATATCAATAGTTTTAGAAACAAAACATATTCTTTACAGATTACTAAAAAAAAACCCCTGGCTGATTTTATCAGTGCTAAAAATATACAATCGATTGAAATTTCCTTTTAGAAGTAATGACTTTTGTAATTGCAAATTCATTTCAAAATTTCTTCAAAAATGCTCATCGTTTTTTGCCTCAATAAAACCACTTGAAATTTTTTAAAACAATCCAGCTGATTGCAGCTTTGATTTGTGCATGTCAAAGATAATACAATCGGTAACTAGACCAATGACTGCGATGTCAAGGCCGTTTGGCTGCTGCTTAAACCCACTTGAAATTTTTTACAAAAATCTGCAGCGGCGCTTCCAAAAAACAGCTGTTGTTTGGCATTTAATTCTGGACCAGCCAGGAATTATTTATTTATATTTATAAAAACACAGGGCACACACGGACGCGGAGGACGCGATGCATATGTATGTCAAAGGACTGAAAGGACCTAGTTCGAACAGGTTCTAACGGTATCTGGGCGAGAGCGAGGACTCGCGACACTCTCTCCCGTGAAAGGTGAAAAGTCCCGCTTTTCCGCTTTTCCGACCAGAGACGCTGGGCCAAAGTACGACGACTGATTGCGCCGAGCTTTGTTATCCTGCGGAAAAGCTGGCCGTCCAAGAAGCGAAAGGACAAAAGCGCAATCGGCCGAGAGAGTGGACGAAAGCGAGAGAAAGTTGGAGAGAAATTCAGGATTCTGCGAGTGCCAAAAAGCACAGATAACAAACAAATGGGTCCATCTGCACACTAGTACCAAATTTTTTTCGGTGTTACTCTTTTGAAAACGTAAGTATTTTATTTCGATCTAATCGAAATTTTATGAAAAGTTAAAGCTTTCTTTTTAAGTATATTAAAATTATATTTTTAAATTTAATTTTAACAAATACATGTTTTAAAATCGGAAATTTATTTGTGTCTACAAATACAAATATTTTTTTTATTAAAAAGTTGTATGTTGATTATTTTTAAAGTTTAGATCATTTTCAGTGCACCACTAGTACTGATAATTTTCTCAGTGCAGACGAGAGAAAGAGAGAGATGGACTGTTTAGAAAATTGGCCTTTGCTTTCGCTTGCATCACAAAAGAGAAAAAGAGGAGAAAGGGAGAAAGAAGAGGAGCACCGTATGTTTTGCCAACTCTTTTGATTCCTCTTTGCTGTTTACCGTTTTCAGCCCACCCACAAGGGAGGAGAAAAAGAAGGAGAAAAGGATAAGCAACAACAGCCACTAAAACGAGAAGCAGAATGAAAAGTTTGGCACAGTTTACCATCCCAGATGTGCGCACAGTGTGACCAACCCCAAATATACAGCAACTAAGTTCAAGGTTGACAAATATTTCAAAAATAATTATATTCCAATTATTAGAAACAATCTAAGTGTATCAGTATTCTTTAGATTGATTTGATATAGGAACTTTAAATTACACTGACAAACGAAGGTCTTTTCTTTGTTAGGTACTCAAATATTAACAAATAAAATGAAAATTTTCTTTAAACGACTAAGAAATGTTCACTCCATTAAAAATACAAACACATCTCACTAGTAATAAGTTCTAGAAATTGAAACTGTTATTTACGATAAGATAGTCCCTGATAAAACAATACAACATTGGCATGAAATTATAAGAAGCAATTGAGACTTTATTACAGTGGGAGAAGGCTTATAAAAATCCAAACCCAACTGGCTTTTGAAAGAAATGTTATCAGCGTTTAAGTAATAAAATGACAGAGCAATCGATGCAATCAATAAATTTATTAATTGACCCATATTTCGACATTGGATATTCCGATATTGTTCTTCATGACTAATTATAATTCAGGATAACAAATCGATCATAGAGAAGAAAATTGTAACCCACTGTCGGCCACATCTGTAGGTTCATTCACCCAACCATCCGACCAGATTGTGGGCGGCTAGAAAAGGGGGCGGGTCTGGGGAAAACAGCTGCTCCTGGGAAATGCAGAGCAACTCTTCAAGAGCAGCTCGAAAGAAAGCTCCTCTCATTTTCCGGAGCTTTTCAGGAGACACGACTCGAATTTAATAATAGATGCGAGAGCGCCAGCCCAACGGAATATGTTTTGCTTTGTTTGCCTTTGCCATAATTTATTTATGCATTTGTCACTGTTTTTCGTTATTTTGATAAAGTTGTAGCCAGATAATTTGGACAGGACCCACGGGAGCCCGAAAACATAGGGTTTCCAGAGGAGACAGTGGGGATGACGGGATGTCGGGCTCCCTGCATCCCTATTTTTTATTTTATTTTATTTTAGTGATAAGGCTCGGCTCGAGAAAGTCGATATCGTAATATAAACACGAAATAGGAGCCCAGCACCGAGCAGCAAGCATCCCGCAGTTGAGGGAGAAAAACCAAATTGTGGATGCCATCCGCCAGGAAAACCAAAAAGGCGAGGAGACCAAGGGGTATACACAGAGAGAAACTAGTCCGTTTATGGAATTCCAATATATGTCGACATTAATTAACTTCATAATATGTTTTTCTGATATTTTGAAATTTTTTTATATTTGGAATTACTGAATAGATCTCTAAGATTTTTCAAAGAAATATATAATAAAATAATTAGTAACTTTTAAGACTAATTATTAGTCACTTTTAAGACTAATTATTTTATTAAAATATAATTACTTACCAAAGTAAAATATATCCCCAAGTCTTTATAAATAAATTAAAAAATATATATAAAAAATATATTTTTGAGATATATAAGATATTGTTGATGTGGGCTTTTCAAATCCAATAAAATCATTTGGCCTCCAAAATTGTATGCTTGTCGTTTTTGGGAAGTTCTTTGTGTACTAATACTTTATGATTTTTTCTCCCAGTGTATGAAGCTTTGGCATATATAGGGGTTACAGGGGTGCCGTTTTGCTCGCGTGGGTTTTGTTGATTTTGCGTGCGCATAAAAAATCGAAGTGGGCACGGGAGGTTGGAGATTGGGAGTCGACGAGGTGAGGAATTGGGGATTGGGGATTGGGTGTGGGTTTTTCGGGGGGCACTTGGGATTGTGGATGCGACAATCTCGGCGCGTGTTTTTGGCTGCTGGAGCCGCTTGTTTCGCATTCTGCACTTCTGTGGTTGAGGGCCGACTCGTTTAGGGGCGTGTACCCCTCTTTTCGGCGGAAATGGGGTAAAAGGGGGCTGGCAGGACTCGTAAGGACTCACAAAGACTCACCTGTAGTATCACGATCGTAGAAGTAGCTGCTGGCACTGCTCTTTATGCTGATGGAATCCAGAGGCGTGGATGGCGGCTCAAAAATATCATAGGAGTTGCAGGATTCGGCCGAAGGAGTCGGTGGTGCCACAATTATCCTAGCTACCGCTGCAACCAATTTATTAATGGTATGCGTAGTACAAAAAGAAAATCAGAAATATATAAATGAAATATAAATGTAAAGTAAAATTATAACTAAACCAATTAAAGAAACTAAGACAATTTTTTTATAATATGTTTTCCAGAACATCTTTCTTTTTCTTAAACATTAGTGTCTTTTTGGCCAATGAATATAGTAATTGTCCCTTATTTAAATATGGTAGAATTTTGTCTTGTTGCTAATTTACCTTTTCAACTTAAAATCCATTTAAACCCTAAATAAAACACGTATAATTCAATTTATCATAATCAGATAATTTATTATAGCCAGTCATATAAAGAGTTATTTACATTTTACTGCCTATATTTAAAAAACTTTGTAGTTTTCAATAGAGATTTTTTTGAGTTATGTAAGTCAGTTTTGTGTGAAACACAATTTCATAAGACATAGTTTACAATACAGAAAAATCATAATGAACAGATTTAATTTCTGTAATTTAATTCATTTCAAATTCTAATCAAAAAGATTACCAACCATTAATTAAAGGCTTAACATACATTTTTGATTTCTTAATATATTAGAGAATTATTGTACGCAAAAATCATAGCCGAAAGCGACACTTGACAATTAGTTAGAGCCAAAACAAACACCTAATAAATTTCATGGAAATTAAATCTTTTCGAGGCTAACTCCTGCCGCCCGACAACCTTTTTCGCTCGGCTTCTTTGCTGTAGAACTGCAGCTGCCTATTGACTTTGGCCACCACATTCAGCTGGCTCTTGTTGAGATACCTAAAGATCTCGTGATAGAGTTCGTCTGGGAGTCCCAGCAACGATGGCTGCAGCTTGTGCTCCATCTGCATGAGTTGTTGCGATCGCATGGGCTGGAAAACGTTCTGTTTGAGTTCGAAGGAGAGCTCGTCCAGCTTCCGAAAGCGATGGTAAATGGGTTTGTTCTTCGCCTGAACACTCAGTACATAGCGGCCGATGGACAGGCTGATGCTATAGCCCGGTTGCTTGGAAGGCGGTGCCGGCGACAAGGTGACCATCAGCTGGTCCCCCAACGTGATGGCCATTAGTCGGGACTGAAGGGCGGCCACCAGAGAAGCCTCCCCCGGAGCATGCTTATCCAGCAGGGTCCTCAATCGCATGGAATAGGCGGTGTCATTAAATAGCACTTCATATTTGGCCGGCTGTTCGCTCAGGAGTCGCACATTCAGGGCATGAAAACTGCTGAAGGAGGGCACCGGCTGCAGAAGGTGTCGTTTCTGGGCGTAAATCTCCTCCTCCACAAATCCGCACTCCAAGGCCAGCAGGTAAATCAGCAAGGTGAGCCATTCGGCAGCCGGCATTTTCCGATTTTCCTGGTACTGCTTCATCAGTTTCTCCAGATGCTGGGGCACCGACTCCAGACTGGCATGCTCCAGGATCAAAGGATTCGCCTCCAGGCTGCTTTTCTTCTCTTCTGTCAATCGCTGTCGATGCTTCTTCGGCACTGTAATGAGGTTTTTTATTTAATTTAGGATAGAAAATAACGAAGTCATTAGTCAAATTGTGTGTGCTTTTGTTTAAGGTGAAAATTCAAAGATTCAAAAAAGGCAGCAACTAACCTGCTGTGTGCGGTTTGGGATGCAAAAACTCAAACTGGTGGTTATATACAATACATTTTGTACACTACGAATATAGAACACAGAAATCAACTCAAAACTCGCGTTTACTTTTGTGCCAATATAAAACTTAAACGTTGTTTACATCAACTAAAAACTTTCAACTAAAAACGAAACTCGAAAATAGAGGGATCGAAAAGTTACATAAATAAAATTAAGTCCATGGTTAATTTAAATTAGAATTACTTGGTTACAAGCTAATTAAAATCTTTACTCTAAAATATGCTTCCAAAGTTGTTATTATTACAAACACTAAGTTGAACTAATACTCATTTTGGAGGAATCAACATACAAATAAATTTTTAATAATCTACATTGCTGTTTTCACAGTACAGATTTTGTAAAAATGTAGATCACAAATGCTGTCTTTTAAAAGTTGTTTATGATCCAATGCCATTAAAATAAAGTGCATGTGCGAAAAATGTAATAAACAGCCTTAAAGTTACAAACAACCGACCTAAATGGGGTTTTAAAAATTACCGCCAATAAAATTAAATGAAGGCCAAATGGAATGCTTAATAATGAACTTATTGTTATTGTTTTTCAAGTTAAATCCTTAATACTAAAATTTTAGCAACTAATATACGGTTAAAATTAATATGTTTGTGGTGTGTGGTAAATTATTTTTTATTAACATTCGTATTCCATTTTTTAGGCGCTACATAATTTACTCCACATTTAAAACAGGTTTTTCTAAATATTGGATACATTCGTAAAGGTTATCGAAGGTTTAAATTATGATTCATCAAGGAATTAAATTGGAAATTTCTTTTGAAAAAGGGAATGGATAAAGTTAGTATAAAACAGAATTCAAATAAATAGTGAATCATTCGTATCGATAACGGCTCCCAGTATAAATTTAAACACATTTACAATAGGAACAGGTCTTAATAAATGTTTTAGCAAAGTTATGCTAAATCAACAGTGATATTAGCATATTGCATAAATAATAGTTGTTGTATTTTTGGTTTTTTCTGTTTTTGATTTATGGGAAAATGGTTTTCAAACAAACAGGTATTCAAAAAGATTAAAAATTATTTTTTTCTTTTTTAATAAATAGTACTTTTTTTAGTTAGTATGTTTTTTTGGCGTACATTACGATCCCAACATTTATTTTACGATAAAATATAATCTAAGATATTTGGTACGGGATTTCTAATACTTAACAACCAAAATGAACGAGTATTATTTGCATTTAACTTAAATAGATTACTAGATATTTAGTTTTCGTTTGGTTTTTTATGATTTATAGGGCAGTGTCCAACTTGTGATAAGTGCCAACTCATGAGTAAATGTGTAGATTACGAGTACACTAATGGGAAATCGGGGCAGCAAGCCTTATCTTTCTTGTAGTTTTGATATGCTTCTTAAATATTTTTCCATTACTTACCCAAATCGGGAGTTTTTGTATTCTTTGTGGCAACCACTTGTTGATCATTCTGTTGTGGTTGTTCGCCCGATGTCGAGGCACTGGCTATATCCTCGATTTCCGATTTCGCCTCTGACATTTTGTATTTTTTACGTATGAATTTTGTCTGGAGTGTTTTGAATTAATATATTATTTCGACTGTCATGTTTTTTTTATCGTGGAGCTTGCGATGACAATTGAAAAATGGGGCATACTGCGTTGGTGCAACACAATTTATAGTGAGCACCTAGAGAGGAAATTGCAGTTTCATCTTTCCTTATAGTAAAACTGCAGCAGATGTGGCACTTGTGTTTGTATATCTTATTTACAACTTATTTTGCGAATTTCTAAATAAGATCACCGCATTAATCACGCAACAAAAACAATCATACGCCGCGTCGGCATACAATATCTAGAAAACACGCTTAGTCACACTATTACATGTCCAGATGCAAAAACCACTTCCATATATCATTAGGTAGTTATAGTTTTCCTTTTTGGAGGCGCAAAAATAACAGAAATTAATATAATTTACAATGCAAAAGTTTTTTTTCGCGAAAAATCAGCTGGCAAGCTGCCGCTGTGCAACACTACTGTCACCACTTGTCGATTGCATAACTATCGATAGACTGTATAGTGATTGAAACTATCTTTTTTCAGGCCAAATGTAAATAATATAATAATATTTTTTATAAATTAATCAAAATTGGACTGAATTTAAATAGATTAAATAGTTTATTTAGTATATAACCCCAAGGAGATAACCCAATTAATCAAATAAATTTTTAATTAAAATTAAATTGTATTTAACAAAAGCTAAATTTCGCTTTTTTCCCCGATAGCAGTCAGCACTAGACCTAAAACAGTGTTGGCAAACATAGTTATTGCCGGCTAAATGTTTTGGTTTTGCCAAACTTGAGAAAAACATAGAAACACAGTTAAAAATAATAAATAATAAACAATAAGAAATAGAAATATGGCTAACAGCGAGGAAAATGAGTTGTACATGGTCAAGGAGGCGCAAAGTCTTCGAAAAACCGACCCATGTGCGGCGATGGCTTGGATAATCACTGCGAAAACAATGTATCCAAATTCGTTTAACTTGCAGTATGAAGCCTACCTATTGGAACGCGATGGTAAAAACTATGAAGAGGCTGCGAAGTGTTTCAGCGTCATGTGAGTAACTAATACAATAATTATTCAGTTATTAAATATATGTATTACACTTATAGAGCCACCAATTTCCCCAATCAACATACAGAACTGTGGCAGGAGATCAATGCCCTAACGAATGCACTGAGAAATGAAAATGAAAACACTCCGGAACAGGAGTTCTATGTGAAAATGTACAAACATCTAACACCCGAAGTGCAGCACAATATATTCATGCACACGATCAATCACAGTGGCGATAACCTGGAGCAGTGCGTCTACATCTACATACTGATGTTCAACAAGTTTCCCAAGTCGGCCATTACTCAAGCGCCCAGGTTACTGGAAATGCTTGCCGAGGGCATGAAAACGGATCCGGATCTTTACCAGAGAATCCTAGTGGAGGAGGTGCTGCCCATGATCCAAAATAAGCCCCCGGAACTATCGCCAAATCTTGCCTGCAGGCTATACACCAGTTCCCTGGAGTTTTATCTTCGCCAGATCATGGATGAATCGGATACGGCGGATGCCTGGAAGAATATCTTTAAGGTCCTGATGATCTGTGGACAGATGATGGGCTGGGAACCGTTTTTACCCTTCAGTAAGAATGTAAACCAGAATGTCTACTGGGAAAAGTTAGTGGACATACTTTCTGGCAGTCCTGCGGGCAGTTCCCAGGTTTTATTCTATGCCACCACCTTGTTTATTTACTCCCTGCACGGTTATATACGGAATTGCAAACTGAGAATCGAAGATGCGGAAGTAAGCCACGTTTTGGTGGAGGGATTCATGGAGTGGTCGCCGGAGGGAGATGGCTCTGAAGTGCCCAGCATGGAGCCTCCAAAATTCTCTCTCACCACCGCCATAAGTCCGGAATTATCAAAGGCCTTTTTGCACGCCGCCCAATGCTGGCAGTTGCTCAATACGGATCAGTTTCAAAGGGATTTCAGTCAACTAATGCTGGCTCTTCCTTTGGCGCCTTGGATCTCCCGGTTCCTCTTCGATTTGGCCATATATTTCGGGCACCGTGATGAGGCCAACAAGCTCATGGCCGACATGACCACCCAGAGCAGCCTGGTGCAGAGTCTTCAGATTCTCAGCCTTAATCTGATGCAGGGCAGCATGACTGTAAGCAAATTGATTAAATAATAATTTAAATAAGCAAACCTTAACCTTTTTACTCCACAGCTCCAGGGCTTCCAGTGCATCCTGAAGATCATCTCCGAACTGCCTGCTACTCAGGGTCAACTTCTAGAGAACATGTCGCTCAAAGGTCATCGTCATATGGTTTTCCTGCCCCTCACTCGATCCGCTTTGGTTCAGTATTGCGTAGGTGCTATTATCAGCAGACTGAGCCGAAAGGTTTACGAACCCAACTGCCCAGATCGATTGCTCGGGGATCTACTAGTGTTGCAGCAACTGAATCTCCTAAATGATGTGCTGCTCACCCAACAAATTTTCAGCTTGATTAAGCAACGCAAATCGTTCAATTTGCGCACCTTATCGACCTATATAATTGCCATCGACTTGATTGAGGAACTCTCGCACATTTGGAACACCCAGCTGGAGGATAATTTCGAGTTGACCAGCTCACCCATTTCCAGTGGCACACCAACCGCAGCAAGTGGAGCTGTAGGTTCCCAAAACCGAAGAATTGGAACGCGCGGAGCGGATAAAGGAGCCAGGGATGAATTTAAGGCGATTACTCGCCAGCAGATTGCGCGCTGCAATGAGAATGTGATCACGTTGCTGGCGAATTTCATCAGTCAGGAGCATTTAATGCTGGCCCAGCATATCTTCGGGATCAGCCAGCCCGTGGAGACGATTGTGATCAAGTGAGGGAGGGAGCCTCCTGAGATGTTTAGCGATTAGGGGGGTTTTTGTATAAGCTAACAGCGCACATTTGGGTCTTTAAGGAGATAGAGCATTGGACTTCTTAAACACATTCTCTTATTACATTGAATAAAGATAGTTTTTCGTCTTATAATCAAAGATAAAGTATTTTAAAAATAGGGATAGCAAATGTAAATATTTAAGAAGATAAGGAAGTAATCAAAAGATAATTTTAATTTTCAGACGGTTATTTATTCACTATATTAAAAATTAAGCCTACAACGACTAGACATTTTTGTTCTTATCAATATTTTACACAAATATTTGTTTCTGCAGCTGGTAAACGAGTTTGAGGGTACATTTTGATATGTTTTCGTTTCAACTTCTTAAAAATACAGTAAATTTGTATTTTGAATTGGTATTTATATAATTAAATGAAATAATTATATATGAACACTTGTTTACAAATGTATTCAACAGATCCCATTTAAACGGTTTTATATTTAGCGTTCTATCCATTTATTTGGGATATATAAAAAAGCATTTTTAAACAACATATTCAAAAGATAAAATCTCTGTGAATTTAATTTTTAGTTTCTAAACTTCAACTATTATTTATTTGATAGTTGAACCGTTTCGAAAGGTAAATAAAAGTGTGTAAAGCTTTTAATTATGATTTAGCATAGGTTTTAAGAACTTCATAGACATAGCACAGTAAAGATAAGGGCTTTTATCCCAGGGATTACAAAATAGACAGCATTCCGGTTCACTTTTGTACTAAACACATATATATTCATACTAAGAGCCTCTTCCTTTTACATAATAGCACTCGTGTGCACGATAACTGGGTAATTTAGTTTGGTTATCAGTATCACAATTAAACCGTGGTGGTTGTCAAGTTTTAAGCCGACTTCTGGGCTTCCGGACTGTTCGGTGGATTCGGTGCTACGTGGGACACCTCGGAGGACTCCACCACCTCACCTTCCAGAGGCAAATGAATCCCAAAATCGTGCTTCATATAGGACATTAAAACATTATAAACGGCCGTGCACACATTGACGAAGGTGACCCGGTATTTGGTGTCCAGATAACGAAAGTTCAGGTACTGGGCCGCCGGCCAGGTCATCCAGTCCAGTAGATAGACATACGGGAACTTGCTGATCAGCTCCTTGTTGGTGGCCTCCAGAGTCTGGCGCTCCAGGTAGCAGATGGAGTAGAAGAAAATGAAGATGCAGGCGGGCGACATGAATAGCTGGTCAATCAGGATCTTCTTGAGAATATTCTGGAGTGTACGCGCTGGCATTATTCTGTCCATCCAGTTGTAGACGAAGTGATGGAGAGGTCCTTGCAGAGCACCCGCCACAAACATCCTGTACATGCGATCCGTATCGAAGCGATCCTGGTGCCGCAATCCCCGCCTGTATTCGTATTCCTGGGCTATCGCATCGCCGACGACCATCAGAAGACCGGAACCCACCACGTTCGTTACGATCAGGTACTTCCCGAACATATTGCTCCAGGCCAGTTTCGTCCAACGGAGGAGTAGGAAACTCAGGGCCTCCGTTTCCCCTTTTCCATGGGCCAAGCGGAATCCATACTTTGGTGGCACCACTTCGTGGGTTTTCACCCGGCAGAGGACTGTGAAATCTCGCTGGGAGCCGAGGGATCCAGGGATTTTCCGGGTTAGTGGATGCCGGAGGCCGAAGCGCAGGCAGGGAATGCTGAACATCTTCCGCAGCCTCAATATTTGAGGTCTACTGTAATCCCGTGTGTTTTAAAATGACGTTACGAAAGACCAGATTGTTTTGACGTTAAACTAACAGCTGATTAGGGATGCCAACTTTTCGATTGCTCACTTACATATCGGAGGTGGAAAATCGATAGTCGATCTTAAAATGTATCGCTTATATTAGGTTTTACTTTGATTTTGATTTTAAACTACATTTTGAGTTCATATTCGGTTGTCCATTCAATAAAAATATACTCTATTAAAGAATAAGAATAGATATATAAGTTAAGCATATTTTTATTGGCTCTGCTGTTTGACCATTAGCTTGAAAAACGATAAGTATTATATACCATTCAAAAGCATAATTTTTAACTTTTGTTTTATATAGACAAAATATAATATTTATATTCTTGATCAGCACTAGGAACAATCAGGTCAAAAAGTACGGATTTCCTAAGTTAGCTTCAATTCTCGTTAAATTTAGAAATTAAAATTTTTTAACTTCTCAACTCAATTAATACAAAATACATCATTTAAAAAAACCCGTTACCAAAGTATGTTTTTTGTATTATTTTGTAAATTGTAAACAGTTTAGAACAAATCCCAGATTATGGGATGGAAAAGCCGTGTTTTATGTGCGATAAAATAACGACGTACAAACAATTGGCCAGATTGACGAATACCACGCGGTAGAGTGCCTTGAAGTAGCGAAAGTTCAGATACTGCAGACCCGGCCAAAAGCAGCAATCCATCGTCCAGGTGAAGAGGAACTTCTCGTACAGTTCGGCATTGCATTCGGCGATGCTCTTGCCCTCCAGGAGACTGCTGATGTGGAAGAACATGAGGATGTAGATGGGCGACATGACCAGCTGGTCGGCGAGGATCTTCCGCAGGATGCCCCATCGGTTGTTGTCGGGTACAACCCTGTCCAACAGCAGATAGAACCCGTGCTGCACGGGCCCAATGGCCAATCCCGTGAGCACCATGCATCCCGAGCGGTTGAAGTCGAAGGCTCTTTTGCTTTCACCCAGTCGCTCGTACTGCTGGGCCACCGCATCTCCGATGGCGAGGAGGAGTCCCGAGCCCACGGTGTTCGTCACCAACAGGTATTTCCCGAACGCCTTGGACCAGAATTTTGTTTTCCGCCCGGATCGGGAGTTCATCGAGAAGTAGCTGATGGCCTGCAAACTCGTCCTCAGCGGATTCGCCAGGCGAATGCAGCTGGAGACGAACATCCTGATCCCATCCGATCCGATTCAAATCCACACCTCGAAGGATCTCGCTGCCTTCCAGGTTCAGTTGAAAGTGAACTTGTATTTGCTACCATCATTTTGACAATGGAAGACCCGGTTTGTCGATCAACTGCACGATTTTTGGATGACAGTAAACGTCAATTACATTGTTAAGGAAATTCAATAATATAATAATTCATATTAATATCACAAAATTAAAGCTATGACGAGGGGTCATCTATTATTTTTGTAATTATCAATGAATACTTATATTGAATTTAATATCATGGGAGGGTTTTTGGTTGAAGTGGAATAAATAGTTTTCCGATATTGTTAAATAAATTACTTACATTTTTTGGATTTGGCTATTAACTGATTTTATCTACAATTTGAATTTATCAATATCGATATCAAGATCCTTCAGGTCATTATCGATTATGCCCTGCCAAACATCGATATTACCGGTGTATTGGACATCGATGTTTGCATCGATGCTACCACCTCCATTTCATTTTTGCTTTGCTCTGCTGCTTCGTGTTATTTTTAGGCCGCCTTTTTAACCGAAAACTTCTTCGTTTTTGTGGCTAAGAAATTCGGGAATTTCGACCAAGTCCGACCGGTTGGTAAATCCGCAACACACGCAACTATTTAAGGTTAGGACCGGCCTGAAAAAACGTATAGAATCTGGTATTAACAGCGCTCTTTTTAGGCAACGCCATCCGGTTTTCCGGGTGACTAATTTCTGGACTGTTGGGACCCACGCAGCGCTAAAAAATGAGGCTGCTCTACGTCTTCCTACCGATTTTGGCCGTTCGATTGGCCTCCGTTTTCGTGGTCCAAACCTACTACGTTCCGGATGAGTATTGGCAGAGTCTGGAGGTGGCCCACAAACTGACTTTTGGGTGCGTTTAATTTCCGGGATTATGGCCCAATTGCTGAGTTTACCATCAAAGTTTTGGTTAGAAATTGATTGACAGTTGACAGAACATCATTTAATGGCGTTTTGAAACGTCTACATAAACTTTTTCATTCATAAAAACTTTTTTTCGATTGCTATCCATACAATATAGGCATTTCCTTGATATTGTAACCGATGTAAATGATATTGTTTAGGATTAAGAGATTTACTGGCTAGAATTCGTTTGGAAGTTGCTAGATGCTTAGTTTAGACACACACTTTTGCTATTATAATAACTTAAAATTAATTTTTTTATTTATAAAAAAGTCATTTACAATTGATATTTCTAGAGTAAAGCCAGTTTCTATTTTTTCCAAACTGCACTACAAATCAAATAGAAATCAAACCAATTCTTTGAATGTGAAACCAGGAACCTATTCTTGTACTATGACCTAATATTTGTGTATTCTGTATTTCATAGCTATGGCTACCTGACTTGGGAGTGGGTGCAGGGCATTCGCAGCTATGTGTATCCCCTGCTGATTGCCGGTCTGTACAAAATCCTTGCCCTCCTGCAATTGGACAGTGCCCATCTTCTGGTCCTGCTGCCAAGGATTCTCCAGGCTTTGCTATCAGCCTACTCCGATTATCGCTTCTTCGTGTGGACTGGCAAGCGCAAGTGGGCGCTGTTTCTGATCCTGGTTCCCTGGTTCTGGTTCTACACGGGCTCCCGAACTCTGGCCAATACCTTGGAGGCCTCTCTGACCACGATCGCCTTGAGCTACTTCCCCTGGTATGGCGAATCCACTGGTTATTTGTGGCCAGCTGCCATTTGCTGCTTTTTGAGACCCACGGTGGCGGTTATTTGGCTTCCATTATCCCTGTATCATCTGCGCAAGAGTCGCCAGAATGTCCTGGAACTGATCCTCAAGCGATTTGTGCTCATCGGGTGAGTTCAGAAAATAATTTCAAAAAGTAATTTATAATAATAAGTAGGCAAGCCATACAAGTGATGCTACTTAATGAGAACCTATTCAGAATACGATAAACTAAAAAAAATGGAATATAAGCTTAAAAGTGATTTAACAAATAATAATAATACCCTTAAATGTTTATTTTGTATTTCATACTCTTTGCATTTATAATGTATTGCTATCGTTGTTAATATTTTCATTTACAAATTGATTTTTTCATAGTTTGCAATTTAAATTTTGGAGATCTCTAAGTAAACCCGAATAATCTTAATGAACTCCCTCTTTATATTGCAGTTTGCTCGTCGCTGGACTCGGAATTGCCATCGATACTTACTGGCATGGTCAGTTGATTGTGACCCCGTACGAGTTCCTCAAGTACAACATCTTCAACAACATCGGCAGCTTCTACGGCTCGCATCCTTGGCACTGGTACTTCACCGTGGGTCTGCCCACTGTCCTGGGAGTCAACACGTTGCCGTTTATCTTCGGCGTGATGGAAACTGTGAGGAAGTCGGAGAAGTACCCGGTTAGCAAGCAGCTTTTGATTACCATCTTCCTGACTCTGGTTGTCTTGAGTGCCGTGGAGCACAAGGAGTTCCGATTCGTGTCCTCGCTGCTGCCCCTCTGCTTGTATGTAATTACGGATGCCTTGTCCCGGTGGAGCTATAGAGCCTCGCGCACAATGCTGTGGACCACTGCTTTGGTGATCCTGGTCGGCAATGTCCTGCCCGCCTGGTATTTGAGCACAGTTCACCAGAAGGGACCCATCGAGCTAATGCCCAAGTTGAGGGAGATTGCCCAGGAATACAGGGATGAACGAGAGCATCAGGCGAATATTCTGTTCCTGATGCCGTGCCATTCCACGCCATACTACAGGTGAGGGGTTGATGAATTAAAGAGTTACAATAACTGAAAAAAAATACATTATCATTTTTTTACTTTTTATAAATCTGTATTCAAAACTAACAATTGGAATTCCTCTTATCATCTTCCTTAGTCACATCCACCAGAACGTGACCATGCGCTTCCTGACCTGTGAACCGAATCTGGAGAAGAAGGAGCAATACAAGGACGAGGCCGATCGCTTCTTCGAGGACCCCGTGCACTGGATCAACTCGCATATACCCGTGCACCCACTCACCGCTCTGCCCACCCATGTGGTTATGTTCGATCCGCTGGCCGAGAACATCAGCGTGTTCCTGCGCAACTACCGGCTGCTCCATCGCATCGAGCACGCAGAGGTAATCCGGCTGGAGGGCTCGCAGGCTCTGGTGGACGAGTGGTCGCAGGCACTGGGCGCCCAGTCACCTAATCTCGCCTCTCTATTGCAGCATCGCCAATCGCGCACAGGTCGCTCTATTTTGGTGTACCAGCGCTTAAAGAAGGGCGAGGAGAATGCATTTAATCAGAAGGATCAGGAACAGGATGTCCACGACCATCCACCTCTGGAGGATCTCCCATTGGCCAACGAGAATCTTTTCAACTAGATGGTAGAGATACAGAAAACGAAACCCACCACCTCAGCCCTCCGTTCAGAAGCAAGACGCAATGACACACTTAATATTAACTCAACAATACAAACGTATATTTTGTATCCATTTTTGGCCTTAGCAAAAGTTTTTAAAACGTCGCGCGAAAAGAACTGAAAAAAATCAGAGAAAACAATTGATATTTGTAGGCGCATTTTGTGTACTTTGTGCTAGTTGATAATGTGTAAGCCATCTGAGTATTTAGACGTTAAAAGGTCTAAAAAGAGGCAATATATTTTACGTAGACGATACCGCACTTGATCTGTCCTTTCTTTAATTTCTCAAAATAAAGGTTCAGTTTGAGTGAATAAATAATTGGTTTTTAATTTAAAAGGACGGTTTTAGCTGTTAGAAAATAAAAAAAATATTGACATTTAAAAATAAACAATTTTTAAACAAAGTTCATCTGCCTAAATATGCAAACGTTTATTCTTCTATTTTTTAACAATTAAAGAAAAAACTTCCGAATATTCATTAAATAGTTTGTATTGTTCTAAAAACAAAAACAATTTAATGTTGGCCTTAATAAAAATGAAAAACATTTTACAGTTTATTAAAAAATATTAAAATATCCATTTTTATGTACTATTCAAGAAAAACATTTATTGCATGCAAAAATAAGTACATATTTAAATGAAAACTGAGAATTTAGATTGTTGGTTATAAGTATTTATACTACCGACCCGCTAAAGATGGGATGTTTCGTATTGAAAGACTATAGAAGTTAATCAAACTATTAAAAAAAAATGTTTTTCACTGTACGAAATTCGATTTCAAAACATATAAATATTGTTGGACCGCTTAAACATATCCATTTTACTAACATTATTCGATAAGTTCTGTTAAGATCAAAGAGCCATTCCACCAGGTGGCAGCCTCTCCATACTCCCACCACTAACTTGTAGGCGGCTCAGCGTTGCCAGATCACACGGCGTAACCTTCTGTTCGGCATATTTCGCATTAATTAAACGCGTTTTAATTAAGTAAAGCTGTTTAAGTCGCACAACCACCTCACGGAGATAACATGGCTGCTTCAATGAGGGCGCTGCTGAAAGTGCGAGGTGCGTACTAACGATATCGGTTGAATAACTCGCGCGGTATAGCATAATAAATTATATAACTTCGATGGATTTATGGCACAAAAAGAGCGAAAAGGCAAACAAATAGAGGGCACCTGTCGTTCCCAAAGATCTGCTGATTAGTCAGCCTCAATTGGGATTAATAGTCGGGTTAATTTGCGATCCCCCAGATACGTGGCTTCGAAAAAGAGGAAGAGATACCTTTTAGGGGTGCGGAGGGGGTGTGTTCAAGGTTCGTTTGCATGTGACCTAGACCCATCGAAAAAACAACCGTTTTTTCGGCCAAAAGTACAGTGGGACCTCGCCTAAAGGATGACTTTCATGATTCATATTTATTACTCAATCATCTGATTAATATGTTGATTAAATTACATTTTAATAGCTTTTACTATAGGAGCTAAACAAGAAATTTTTGTGACGAATCGAACAAACAACCGATTTTTGCGGCTAAAAGTACAGTGGGTCTTCTCTTAAAAAATCACTGTAATCTTTAAGATATATTGATAAATCTTGTGATTATGATTTTGATTTAATGGGATTTTATATATATCAGCATAACAAGAAGCTTATGTGACCCATCGAATAAAAAACCGTTTTTTTTTGGGTTAAAAGTACAGAGGGACTTCGCCTTATATATTTCTTATCCTGTAAATATTATTTTGATTTTATGACATTTTAAAAGCTCTTACTATATCTGTATAACAATATTCTAATGTTGTATCGTTTGTATACTAAATATTTGGATTATTAGTTAAATAAAATTGCTGTATGCTTTATGTAAATTGTTAAGAAATCGATGTTCATTAAATCCATTAAATCCATTGAACTCCTAAAACAGATTACATATAAGTTTACCTTTAGGACATTCTCCGAGTTCTAATTTCAAAAATCCTGAAAAATCATGGCTCTTCAAATGAGTTAGTTTAAAGGATATTACAGATCCACACACCAGGAAGTCCGAATTTTTTATTAAAACACTCCTGCACTTCAGCGTCAACGCGATTAGCGGCATAGTGATTGCATCTTGAAGTAAATCCACAGTGATGATCAAACAGTTGTGGAATAGGCTTATTGCAATCACTTTTAATTTATAGTATTGTTATAACTGTCGACCAAGTGTTAGTATGTTTCTAATTATATTCTCAATAACTTACTTAGAATAGCAACAACAAATGAAGCCTTCGATACTGAAATGTGGAGTAAATATTATAGTCTTACAAGATGACTTAACAAATGAATCAGTTTTCCAACCAAATAAAAAAGTTAATCAACAAATGAATTACAAAATGCAGCATAGAACTGAAACCTTTTATGGTTCGCTTTTGCCCACATCCCTTTAAATGTTCCATGTGGACTTATAACTGATTGAATTTCGCCTTTACAGATGGATTCGTTGCCGGCGTGCGCTGCAATTCGCAGTACAACAAGACCCGAGGCAACCTGAAGCTGAACGGCGACTCGCGGGTGATCTGCCAGGGATTCACCGGCAAGCAGGGCACGTTCCACAGCCAACAGGCTCTGGAGTACGGCACCAAGCTGGTCGGCGGCATTTCTCCCCAAGAAGGGCGGCACCGAGCACCTGGGCCTGCCCGTTTTCGCCTCGGTGGCGGAGGCCAAGAAGGCCACCGACCCACATGCCACCGTCATCTATGTGCCACCGCCGGGAGCTGCGGCCGCGATCATCGAGGCCCTGGAGGCGGAGATCCCTCTGATCGTGTGCATCACGGAGGGCGTGCCGCAGCACGACATGGTGAAGGTGAAGCACGCCCTCATCAGCCAGAGCAAGTCGCGATTGGTGGGGCCCAACTGCCCGGGAATCATCGCTCCCGAACAGGTTCGTACATCTTCAGAGCGGTATAAACGATAAGCCTCTCAGGGATTCAAAGTCCACTTCAGTTTGATATTTCTTATCTCGTGGTGCGCGTCACACAAAGAGATAATAAAACACCAGATGATGGCAAATGAATACATAACTATATCTGATGATATTGTCTTTTTGATTTTTCGAATTAACTAATGCTTAAATTATGTTTTGTAGTTTGTTTTGGTGAAATTTAAGTCTTAAATTGGACTTTGTATATTCACTCGAATGAAATTTGTGAACCTGCACTAAAATTAAGCGATTATAAGTTATCGCTTTTCTTTCTATGCGTCACAAACTTCAAGATGATATCAAACAACCTTTCTTTTCTGAATGCGACCTACATTTAGTTTTTTTCAGTCTCCAAAAAAACTAGTTTGGTCAATGAATAAATTAAATTTCTATGTCAGCAGCGAAAGTAAATCTTTTTAAAAATAAATTTTACCTTGAACTTGATCTTTAGAATTCATTTAAAAGTGATAGCTATTTAAAAACAATTAGACCTTGTGTTAATTAGCACTTTTATGTTGAAATTGCTAGTTAAACACAATCAAGTAATTTTGAATAGATACGATTTCTAGTAAAATTTGGTATGATTAAATCATATCTCATATTGTGTATATCCTTGAGCCCAAGAAAATTTTTAAAAATAGTGAAAATACGTCGGTCAAATATTTTGTAGAATGTGTTTAATTTTCTTATAACTCACCTTTTTTTAATTACAGTGCAAGATCGGTATCATGCCGGGTCACATTCACAAGCGCGGCAAGATCGGCGTGGTCTCCCGTTCGGGAACTCTGACCTACGAGGCCGTGCACCAGACCACGGAAGTGGGTTTGGGTCAGACCCTGTGCGTGGGCATCGGAGGTGACCCGTTCAACGGAACGGACTTCATCGACTGCCTGGAGGTCTTCCTCAAGGACCCCGATACCAAGGGCATCATCCTGATCGGTGAGATCGGAGGTGTGGCCGAAGAGAATGCTGCCGACTACCTGACGGAGTACAATTCGGTAGGAAAAGTTACTTAACTAGAGGGTTTGACTTACTTTACTCAAGTTGATATGGTTTTTTTGCTCATACATATTTTTAATCTTTGCCTCTACAGAGCAAACTTGATTACATATATTTAAACTTAAATGCTGATAACTAATTAAGTGAAAATTTTAAATTGTAAGATATCCAAAGCAAAAACCATTGTAATCTTGAATTTGTGTGGTTTCCTGGCGGTATTGTCGCGACAAATATTAAGAATTTGCTTTACTTTTTTACAGGGCATCAAGGCCAAGCCTGTGGTCTCGTTCATTGCCGGAGTGTCGGCGCCACCCGGTCGTCGCATGGGTCACGCCGGAGCCATCATCTCCGGAGGAAAGGGAGGTGCCAACGACAAGATCGCCGCATTGGAGAAGGCTGGCGTTATTGTGACCAGGAGTCCTGCCAAAATGGGCCACGAGCTCTTCAAGGAGATGAAGCGTCTGGAGTTAGTGTAAATAAATAAAGGCCATTACCAAAACGGAATCCGTACGCCGATCAAAGCGTATACGCAAACTCATGATGATGAAACCTAAAGTTAAGCTAAAAGTGTCGAAATCGAAATGGAATTCGAGAGAACCCAAATAAATTATTGTGAAAAATCGCTAAAGTGAACCGATAAGCGTTGAGATGTGACATGTATTCCAAGAATTAAGTTAACTACTGCCGTACCACCAAGTTTAACTAAAATAACTCGCACCTAAACGAACATTTGAATAGATGTTAATGCACTCGGCCCTTAAAGTTAGTTTTGCGAACAGATTTTTGCCTTATTTAAAAATACCTGCTCGAATTATCAATGCGAATTGTATCTAAATGTGTAATAAATATGCATAAAAACGGGAAAGAAAGGCGAAAAGTGAAGAGGTTTTTAATTACACATGGCTTTTTTTAATTTTATTTTTATATTTGGTACGCTGCTAATGGACTTAAGCGGAATCGAAAAGAGTTTAAGGAAGAAACTTTATTAGTTTGTTATATACGAATTAAATCTAGCAGAAATTTAGTTGAAAAACCACAATATCATAGTTTATTCTGGTCGTAAAAGATAATATTAGACTATCGCTTTTTAATTTAAATGTTTGGAAAACAAATAATTTTTTTAAGTTTACATAGTTGTTACCCTTTTTTTACTGTCACTACTTTTTTATTCATTTTAAAGATTTCCCCGGTTATTTTTTACATAATATATGCTTCACTTAACTTAAATATACTTAACTTATCTTAACTATTTTATTTATTTTGGAGAATTCCCTTTTATGGTGCCAAAAAAATACATAGTTTAAAACAAAACTAGTGCTGCCAGTTTTTTGAAAATATGCTAAAAAATATCGATATTAGCT